AGTTACGTACAAGGATGACGGACAAAGACAGGTATGACCAAACCAAAGCTGTTTGTCGGCATTGTTCAACTAAAATTGGTTACGCGGCTGGCAATACATCAAACTAGCACACTCGAACGTGAATATCACCGGTACCACAAGAAAAATGACTGAAATGCAAACCCAACTCCCACTAGCATTTAAGCCTCCACCACTCGCAAAAAGTCCAGTGCCATCTTAGCAAAGCGCTACCTGGCTGTATCTGCTACCTCTGTCCCTAGCGAGAGGGTGTTCTCCACATCAGGAGACATTGTTAGTGCCAGCAGATCTGCCCTTTCGGCAAGCAATGTGGACAAGTTAATTTTCTTCAAGCAAGTCCTAATGTCAAACTAGAACAGTACAGTTCAAGTACAGATTATTTCAGTTCATCGAAATGCTGCACCTTAATGTTTATTTTATTATATTTTGTATTTATTTGAGTGAATACATTATTCACAGTTTAATAATCATTAAAAACCCCACAAAAAATATTTTATGTGTTGTGATCATTTTTTCTGCTTTACCGAAAACATACCGAACCCTGACCTAAAATCCGAGGTACGTACCGAACCGAAATGTTTGTGAACCGTTACACCCCTAATAGTGATAATAATAATCATAAACAAATAACTAAATACAAGTAACTAACAGGACATACATCAAATAACTATTGGTAAAGTGGACTAGTATTAATGTAACAAATTGGGTTCATTAATGATGCGTGTTTGCAGCTTTGTTTAAATTGTCAGTAAGAGTGGGAAATGTTTTGCTACATTAACTGTTGAGTGTTTGCATCATATTAGAATTGTTGAAGTTGATTTTCTACAAACATTTTGACAAATGTTCTTGCATTGTGGTTAATAGAAACAAATGATTCTATTCCAGGCTTTCTGTAATCACTTTATTTCGGACCCTCTGTGTGTTCATACAGAATCTATGGATTTGTTTCCTTGCCCTATTCATGTGATTATCTAATGCCAGGAAACGTGTCACTTACAGATATTAATTGTAACACTTCAGACTGACAGATCTCAGAAAGCACTAGAAATTCCACTTCTGTTTGTGGTTGTCTTTTTTTCCTTATATCTATATTGATGAAGTTGAATTATAGACTCAGGATCAGCTAAAAAAATGTCTGCTCAATTTGAAACCTTTTGATAATACTCTCCTGAGGAAATCATGATCTACGTGAACAATGATCTTTCCATAACCTTAATTTTTAACAGTTTAATAATGTCACCAAGATGATGAGGGCCTGGCCAACAGCCTATCATGTCTTTACATTTTTGTATAAAGGGTAAAACATTCTTCAACTCATGCAGATGCGCCTTTGTCTCATTTAAGGTGATACAGTAGGTAGCGTCTATTCACGCACACTTTGATTATTTCCATAAGCTTTGTATGAAGTCACGCTTATGCAGTCATGAAAAAATATATAGGGTGCTATTTTTGCTGGAATATGTGTTACCTAAATATCTAGAGCAAAGTTGTGAGTAAAAAGTTATCATTCCCAGTAGTTACAAAAGATAGGAGAAAGCATGGTAGACAGTTCATATTAGATTTTTAGCAGTATGTTACCATAGTTGTAATGATATAATCCATCTGTGCCTTTTTGTTCTGTAAATGGTAACAACCTGGATCCTGGAGCTCATGAGTAGCTGTAGCTCCTCTCAGGCTTCAGCTCTGTAGGGCGGTGTCAGAACATCCTGAACCTGGCTGTCAGCCCTGCGGTCATGATGTAGCACAGTTTGAGGCAAACAGAGAGCACTACCGCATGCAGAGCAAAGTAAGAACCATTAAGGGATCCACCATGTCAACATCACCTGCAGCCCTGCCCCACATCATCATTCTGTGTGTCAAACCATTTACACACCTGCTGGGAGCTGGCAGGACACACGGCTGCAGATACAGACCTACAGAAACCTGAGCATGTAAAGTACACAAGCAAACACACAAAGGCACATGTGCAAAAGGATGAACACACAACACGACAATGGCATCGGACGTAAAGAAGCCAGGTGCATGTCCTTATGATGCTAAACAATAGAGAGCACACAAAGGCAATGAATACTTGATTTTCAATAGGCAGAGAAATCTAATCAAACAACAGGAGTATGTATGCAGCTGATCTACATATAGCACATTGTTTGTTCCCGCAGACGCAGAAATTATAGGCTTCGTTTTGGAGTCTTGAGGCTAGAGTGTGATTTTATGCTATATGCTTTGTGCTTGTCTGGGTTGTTATGCTGCGTAAAAGGCTGGTGGCTGGTGGCTCAGCTGTGACCTGCATACCTTCAGGACAATAAACAACAAAGATACTTTATGTTTAGCCTATTTGCCCTCTTGCCATTTTTGGCATCCTTGTAACCAGTCAAGTAAATACACTCGTGTTTTGTGCTGCAGCTATTCAGGCCTTCTACTTTTTATAAATATGGTCAAAAAGTCCTTTAAACGTATTGACTAATATGTCGTTGTCATGCCTTCCAAAACAACATATACGTCAATATCTTCTGATGTTACTTGCAAATCAGCAGGATGAGATAGTTTGCATTCATGCACCATCACCTTCACATCACCACTACTAAAACAACAATGATTAATACTAGAGTGTAGTGATATGGTACTGCTATGGATATGGTTCAAGCTTAAAAAACCTTGTTGGTTAATGTTGGGATCAGTATACACATATTTATTGTGTATACATGTTTTGTCCAGAGTGAAATATCTCAACAACTACTGAACTACTTGTACTGTAGTCTACTGTTCCAAAAGCTTGATGCTCAACGCTTGTGTGTCGACTCTACATTTAAAATCTTAGTCTGTCCTGCTCCGTTACCATTTCTTTTCTAGATGCGCATGCTTCCTAAATACTTAATAATCACCGAGTGGCTGTGATTCCCAGACCCACCTGATAGCACTAATACCTCCCATCTTTCATTCCCACATGTTTACAGTTGTGTGCACAGGGGCACTTTGGACCGTTATTAGGCTGAAAGCATGCAGTGAGATGTAGTCCTGGCAGAAGGTCAGACAACCATCTTGGTCATGGTTGATGTTGACTGGGGTATTTAACGGGAATGTGTCCTGTATCTCACATTGTTTGGACATCAATCCACCCCAAGCTCCTCTAAAAGGTTGCTTTTTAAAGTCACGCATCATTTTCCTTACGTTTTGAAAGACAAGAGTCATATGGTCGATTAAAGCTTGTTGTCAGATAAAAGTTAAGGTTGTTTTTAAAATATGAATAAACAACAATTGCTTTATCTTGTGCGGAGAGACAGTATAGTATACATACTGTAACTATGGCCCGTCAGAGGTACTTGACCTTCACTTCGTTGCTTACCATTGCTGGTTTTACTCCGTGCGTCAGTTGGCGGCTTCAAAGACGTTTGAAATCTGTGTCAGTTTGTCAAACACACAGAGTGATGCACTACGCATTTCTTCATTTTAAATGTCAATACTTTTCATCCCTCGCTGCAATGCCTCTCTTCAAAGGTCATGTTGTTTATCAGGAACAACAAGCACCTGCAGGACATTAATGAGGGAGGGTTTTCTGTGTATATGGATTACTTCATATTGGTTGAGTGAACAGTGATGCAAGCTACGAATCTTTTTTCATAGGGCTGAGTGAGGTCCTTGCGTCATTCTAGAAGAAGCCTTGGCCTATTTTTTAAATAAATAAAGACCTGAAATATTCATCATAAAAATCACTAAGTTGCTAAACTGCGATGCACGCTGTTCTGCACCAGGGGAGATAAGCCTGCTTTAACACATTTCTTTCATACTTCGCTGCTGATCATGTAGACGTGTTTGAATTTTGCCTTTCATTAAATAAATACAGTATTCAGATGGCAGTGAATGGATTGGGAGATTTTTTTCTGATGATGGACAGCCGGAGAGGAGACTTTTTTCTCCATGTTTGTTTTTCCATCTCTTCCTGTCCACACTGTCACTGTCATCGCCTTTCATAGACACTATTTTAGTCCCTGGATTTACATCTATATCTCAGTAAAAGGAAACTAATACAGTATATAAAACGCCGGAGCCCCATGTTGATGTGATCTTGTGTCAGTGTGTTTAGTATCTCGTGCATACAGAGTTAAAGCTTCAGCTCCAGGGAGGGATTACCACAAGCTCAAACTCACACTCAGATCACAGGAAGACTGAGGCAGGGGTAAGATCAAGCAAACAAAAATAAAGTATTGTAATATTTAGTTATGGAACAAGGTCATTGCATTTAATGAAAGACGAGAAGCAAGTATCAATATTGATGAACTAAAAAGATAAAATGTTTAAACTAAAAATGTAAAAGTCTACTGTTTAGGACTGCGTCACATTGATACAAAATAAATATTTTATAAAATGTGCATTTTAGTCTATTAATACCTATCTAGCACAGGCTGTGAAATGCATTAGGATCACTCTAAATCATATATTTTATAAAACATATTTAAACTAGATATATACATGATTTTTACAAAACATAATTTGCAAATAACTATTATTATTATTATTAATATGTATACAGGATCAGTGTTATTGAACCGCTTTGGGCTTTTTTAAGGAAATACAATGGATAAGCAAATGGCCTTTTGACCTCTTCTTTTATTGCTATTTTGTTTCAAAGCTTATAGGACACGGAATTTAGCGACTACAATGTACACATGCGTTTATGAACAATTGTGACGACTGCAGGATTAATGATGAAAGTCACATGAACAGGAACAGCAAGGAGCCTCGCTCACACCATCCTACAGATTTTCCAAAGAGGGGAATCCTTCTATCGTGCATCGCTCTTCTTTTTATGACTATGTGACAAAGTCATCTAAGATGCATCTGAGTTTCCCATAGCAGCGCATGCAGCCGAAAGTTTGTACCAGAGATAAATGATAACCTTGGCATAAGAAGAATGTAACTGTGAAAAAACAGACCGATCGGATCAACGAGAGCAAAAAGAAAAATGCTTTCTGATATCCTCTTACCCAAGATCATCCTGAACACGTCCACTGTCAACTTCTTGTTCCCACGCTATCTCCTTGCTCAGTTCCTCTCTCCCTCGATCAGCAGTGACTCCAACCTCTCTGGCTCTCAAAACTCAAAGTGAGACAAAAAAAGACGTCTCAACACCACAACCATCACTTTGCATCCTGCGCTGTGTCTGTTCCGCTGCCTCCGTCCACATGAGAAGCTTCTCCTTCTTCAGATCTTGACACGCTCAGCCAGCTGTTGCCAGAGCACAGCAGAACCCCCGACTGCAACACCACACGCACTCAGTCTCCTGCAAGGCAGCCTGTAATTTATTCACTGTTATATATATTCACTCAGTGGAGAAACACCACAGTGTACAGCTGAGATGGAGCCCTGCCTCACTGGAGGAACCTCTGCACCACAGTGTGCATATCTCTTTTCCTCTCTCTCTCTCGCTGTCTCTCTCATATTTTGGGGTTGGGTATAACCTAAAGGCACCTTGCATTCCTGAGCAGCGATTGGCCGGAGGCTCGGCCAATGAGAAGAGGAGGTGCTGAGCATTTTCTTGGTGTGTTTGAATGAGGAGGCAGAGTGATAATGCTGCTGTCGATTTTGCTTTCCCTCTCCCTCTGGCACCCCTTTTCTGCTGTTTACTATTGACTTTTTCTTTCTCCCATGTGTCTCACTCTATGCCTCACGATGACGGCATCTGAAACACGTGTGCCGTCACAACATCCCCCCCACATATGGAGGATTTATGTAGAATCTACCTGTATGTAGTGTCAGGTGTTACATTGTGAAAATACTGACACACAGTCCACACCACAGTGGCTTTTCCAGACAACTGTTTGAACAGAGAAAAAAGAAAAGCAGACACAGAGGTTCAACAGAGACTGACAGCTCCAGAGACTCTATGAAGCAGTGGAGGGAGGGGGGAGGGGGGAGATTGAGGTTAACACAGACTGACTGGGGATGAAAGCGGTGATGAAATGTGGAAGATATGATGGAGCAGGAGGATGAAGGGGCGTGCAGACAGCTGTTTGACAGGCAGAGTGCTGAATGAGCACAAAAAGAAGCTTACTCAAATTATTCAAAGCTTATTTTCCAAACTTCATCAAACTATTTCCCACAAGATCCGGCAGCATGCCCTCCAGCTTTAAGCAACGTGAAGCTACCTATTTCTACATAATTAATAACAAATACATACATACAGTGAATCCGATAATGCTCTGTGACAGACTGTGTGTATGTGTGAACCCAGGATTGTGTGTGTGTGTGTGTGTGTTTGTGAGCGTGAGATAAGGTTTCCTCATTAGTTGAGTCGGGCTGAATAATGCAGGTTGGTGTATTGTTGTTTCCAATGGGCCAGGTGCTAATGTGGCTGTCAGAGGGTAAAGGGGCAGACACAGCATGACTTTAATGGATGTCACCATGGGAAACTGAAACCGGACCACTGGACTCGGGTGACACACCATCCTGTGTGTGTGTGTGTGTGTGTGTATGTTTGTCCTGTGGCTTTAAGTTGTTCACTTATTAAAACACTTTGCTGGTTCTCAGAGAACTGCTTTAGGGTTACAGGATGTTGGTGCCATGTTGATAGAATACAGTTACATTTATTAAAGAATGAGCTGAAATAAGCTTTTACTATTCAAATATATGCACCTCTTCATGCCTTATTGCATGAAGGAGCAGGAGTAATGTCAACGTTATATTAAAAAGCTTTGACAAATGAGGTTGCAATTATTTTTTTTAGTGTGGGAAAATGTTCTAGAGTAGTGTCAGTTTAAAGAGGAAGTGAAGTCTTTCTATATGCCTAAAATATTTTCTATGATTGTTTCTGTATTCTCTTAATTGATTTACATGTTACTGAGAATCTATCTGTCTAGTTAAATGGGCTATTGATTTTGACAAAACTCTCATCTTTTTTTTTTCAACTTAAAAGATAAAACCTTTGGCTTCTGTCGGGTCCTAAATGTCTTGTTAGGGGATGAGATTTGTCTCAGTGGATAGCTGCCTTTTGCCATTTACTGCTTTATTGGATACATCGTGTCTTTTTTATTAGACAGTTTACAAAAGATCAACTGATTTGAACATATACAGCTCTTAAGGGTTTCAGGCAGATGCATTGTAATATTTCAAAGTCAAGCATAATGTGGTTTTAATATTGAATTTAATTGTGATTCATCAAATATCATTTGCAGAGAGATTGTGTTTTCTTATATATGGAGTCGTTTCTGTGTCTAATGTAATTTAACCGATGCTAGCAAAAATAACAAAGCATAGTAAATACAGCGCATATACAGTCGAGTTGGACTGTTTCACACAAAACTCTACTTTTCTTTTGCATAAAAAAGTCTAGATATATTGAATGCAGTTTGTATCGGTTGTGCAGTGCAGTCGGTGTACCTGTTCTCCGTGTTAGAGCATGTGACCTCAGCCATCCTTTCATTCTCTCATCTGCCCCTGGAGGCCATAAATGTGTCGACAGGCTTGTTGAACTCTAATTTTAGCCGTGATCGTTAGCGGTGAGTTCTGATGAGGCCTGCCAACATTTAATGAAGTCTTCATTTCTAGTGTAACTCTGATGAAACAGCCTAAAGCATTGTGTTAAAACAGCCACTTGCAGGTTAAAGTGGCCAAACAGATTAAGATAAAGAGATAAAACCAACCTGAAAATCTTTGTCATTTACTATCCTGCATGCACAAGTATAATTTAGTAATGGTATACAAAAAAAAAATGTGTGGACTTATTGACAAACCCTAGTGACTGATAACAATATTATAATTCAAAAATGTGTCGTTTTGTTACTGGTTACTGGTTGTGCTGTTTGAGCTGTGTGGTCAATCAGCTCAGGTCCAGACACAAAGTGAACAAGCAGCCAGCTGTTTGTGGTTGTACATCTGTCAGATGGAGAGTTTCTCCTCTCCTGGCACAGTGAAGGAGGCTCAGAGCTCACTACTCGTCTCTATACACTGACTGTAAGAGGTAGTGGTTCACCGCATGTACAAAAGAAACATGCTTTGTTAGGGAGGGGGTCGACTGGTCATGGTTTAGTACACTAAAAGTCTTTATTTTTAAGTTTAATTTTTCCAAAAATGTGTTATATATGTTGTCAATGTCTTTGACTGAATTATAAACGGTATCCTTTAACAAATCCTCCCACTCTGACAAACTGAAGTTCAATATACAAAAAGCAGAAAATACAAAAGAATACAAGTTATGAAAACATGAAACTCGATTCAGAACTGCACTTAATTGACTAGATGTCCACTTACTAACTTTTGTAGAGCATTAATAGCCAACATTTGAGACAGAGGTTCTAATCCCCTATGACAGACCAACCCATATTATGACCCGAGTTCATTACTCATATCAATAGAGCAACTCCCTCCACTGAAGAAGTTGAGTGAACCTAATATTATCTTGCTTTTGTCAAACACACTAACATCATTTCCACTGAGTTATGTTTACATGGAGTAATGACTAATGACTTAATCCTGACATCTGATCAATTCCTTTCACTCTATATAATTAGCTCTTTTTTAATTCCAGGCACATTTCAACGTGTTTATGACGGGGTGAAAGGTCAGTGTGCTCAAGTCAATGAACCTCAATCTAATCAACATGCAAAAAAACACACAACTGTGTCTGTTATCTGCAGTGAGAGTTTAGGCTGACACTGAGTTAGTGTGAATCTTGCAGTTGAGTCCCCGTACACCGGAATCAGTACACCCTTGATTTTATTAGTTAATTTGCAAAGCTATAACTACAAGTCTTCCTCGGGCAAAATGTGTTCCTTGTGTTGCATTGATTTTTTTTGTATCCTTTACCCATATCCTTCTGACACTGACAATCCTCATTTGAACCAGAAAACTTCTTGCACACATTGCTCATTATTTCTCCCGAGTCTGCCTAATTCTTCCATCCTGTTGTCATGTCGCTTTCATTAGGGATGTAACACAGTACAGAGACAGTGCCCTCTTTATATAAGCCTCTGTCTTTTCTCTCTTCCCCTCCCTTCATCCATGCACCACACCGATGATGTATGTGAAAGGTCGGGGGTCAGACCAGGTCTGAGTGCAACTCTTGTCTGACTGCTGACATTTGTTAAAGACCGCCATAACACTCATCAAAGAGAGAAAGCTTCAAAGCCTCATGGAGGTCTGTCACTGGCTCTTTATTTCTGCTCACAATATTGCAATAATGAGGGGATCCTGGCTTATCCAGCTCTCGGTTCATTTGAAGGTGATCAAAGGAGGAATGCTCAGAGTTGTGGGTGGGTTAGCATCGCTCAGAAGTCCATGATGTTCTTACCTGAGCCCCACATTGGTTGCCTCTGTTCCTCACCAGGGTCGAAAGGATCCAGTTCTTGAGTCCAAAGGTCAGTGTGTCAGCAAGGTCCTCTTTGAGTGCGATAAATTAAAGTTTGCTCACGTTACTGTGAGGAGATAGATAAAGTAGCAATGAGCGACATTAGCGCAGACCTTGCACCGGTCAGCTGGAGAGCGCAGAAACGCTCGGGACAAGAAGCCGCATGCCCACAGTGAAGCTGCATCAAACAGAAAGCTGCATGATGTTCAGTTTCTTCCTATCCTCCTCTGTGTTTCTCTATATTCTCTGTTTGTTGTTTTTAATTGATCCTTCCTGCCGTCAACTCTTTCCTGGGAGCTAAGGAATCAAGTGCATGAGATTCCAGAGGCTAATTCTGCCTCTTAGGACGGGGGAACCTAATATGTGAGGACAACTGTGGAAGGAGGGAGATACAGGCAGAGAGAGAGAGAGAATGTGAGGAAAAGGAGGGGCAGGACCGAGAGGAGGGGGACCCAGCGACGGATGGCAGATCAGACGAAACAAGTGTGTGTTGTCGAGGAGGAGCAGGGTGGCAAGCCGTTGAAACTTGAGAGACATGAAGCAGAGCAGGAAAATGTTGACATGGTGAAGCATAGAAGAATATGATTGGCGGATGAATCAGATGGCTTACAGGCAAATAGGTTGTTTGTTTTAGGAAATGGGTTCCCCCAGAATTGGCTCTGCCTAACAGGTTCTTTTCTCAGATAAGGTTATTGGCTTGAATAAATGGTTTCTTAAAAAAGTAAGTTAATTAATAAGAAATAAGGCCTCACATGGTCTTAAACTGTCTTAAATATGTTTTTAAAACATGGGAAGAAGGTTTGATGACACACTTCTTTCCTGCCATTACAGCAAGTCAAATATCAAAATAATTGGTAGCATCACTTTTTTGCAATACATACGTTTGGGATAGCGGAAAAATAACAGTTTAAATTCGTCTTAAATGTATTTCTCTGAGGCATTAAAAAAGTC